GGGAGCTGTGACATGGCCGCACTGCCCCCCATGCTCTATAGGTCGCGGGGGGGGGGGCGAGGGCACGGGATCCCTGCGCGTGGCCTCCCCACTGGTCAGGCGGGGCCATTGTGGGGCCAACCGGCCCCTCCTCATTCTTTGCGGCAGCCTGGTGGGGGGCGATGATCTTTGACCTCCTTGGTGAGGTCACGACCCTGGGGCCCCCTCATGTTGTGTTTGGTTCCTTGCAGCTTTGGAAACAGGACCCGTGGAGTGTGCCAGGGCCTCAAACCCTCCCCCTTAAGCTCCTTCCTGACAGCCGCAGGGCCTCTCTCACATACGTCCAGGCTCCACTCCAGACAGGCAGAAAGATTCTGCAGAACTGACCGGCAGTGAAACAGCCAAGCCCGGACTGAACATGTCACCATTAGGCTTCAGAGTGAACACACGGCAGTGGTGAATGAGAGCCGTTCACATCGCCCTGAGACGGGTGTTTGGGGGCAGCTCTCTGCAGCCTCAGTCAGGCAGCACCACACAGACGTGTAACGCTGCTCTCCAGGCTCCGAGCAGTCTGCAGCTGTGTGCACGCCTCCTCGGCTCCTCGCCCTGCCCTGCGGCTTCTGTTAGCCCCCTGGCTCGGCCCCCCCCGGCTCAGCTCCCCTCTCAGCCCCCGGCTCAGCTCCCCACTCAGTCCCCCTGGTTCAGCCCCCGGCTCAGCCCCATGCTCATCCCCCCGCCAGCTCATCCCCCTGGCTCAGCCCCCCACTCAGCCCCCAGGCTCAGCCCCCCCGCCTCAGCCCCCCGGCTTAGCCTCCTGCCAGCTCATCCCCCCGGCTCAGCTCCTCACTCAGCCCCCAGGCTCAGCCCCCACCCCCAGCTCAGCCTCCCCTGGCTTAGCCCCTCCCGGCTCAGCCCCCCACTCAGCCCCCCTGGCTCAGCCCTCCCCCCTGCGGCTCAGTTCATGGTGCTGGAGCCTCCCCTTGTGGCCCCACAGTGAGATGTCACGGTTCTCAGCAGTGGCTCCTTGCACAGGTGACGTGGTGCTGCTGGGCTGCAGCCACCTGGGGTGTGGGGGGGGGGAGTGCACGTGGGGGGCGGGTGGATGCTGGCACCAGGGCGAAGTCCCCATGCCTAAGGCAGGTGCCTTCAGAGTTTTGCGGTCTGGGCTGAGTACAGGGCTGGGAGTCAGAGAACCATAGACGATCGGGGGTGGGGTGGGAAGGGACCTCAGGGGGTATCTAGTCCAACCCCCTGCTCAGAGCAGGACCAATCCCCAACTAAATCCTCCCAGCCAGGCCTTTGTCAAGCCTGACCTTAAAATCCTCAAAGGAAGGAGATTCCACCACCTCCCTAGGTAACGCATTCCAGTGTTTCACCACCCTCCTAGTGAAAAAGTTTTTCCTAATATCCAACCTAAATCTCCCCCACTGCAACTTGAGACCATTACTCCTCGTTCTGTCATCTGCCACCACTGAGAACAGTCTAGAGCCATCCTCTTTGGACCCCCCCCTTCAGGCAGTTGAAGGCTGCTATCAAATCCCCCCTCACTCTTCTCTTCTGCAGACTAAATAACCCCAGTTCCTTCAGCCTCCCCTCATAAGTCATGTGTTCCAGTCCCCGAATCATTTTCGTTGCCCTCCGCTGGACTCTCTCCAATTTGTCCACATCCCTTTTCAGGACTCTTGTGCTCTGTCCCTGGCTCTGGGGGGGCTGTGAGGGCTAGTGGTTAGATCAGGACTCTGGCACTGAGTTCCTGGGTGACTTCAGGTGTCACTCCTCCATGCTGTGCCTCAGTTTCCCCAGCTGTCTAATGAGGGCGATGCTACTGACCCGCCTTTGCACAGTGCTTTGAGATCCCTGGCTGAAACAGCACTAAGAGTTGTGATGAACTGGTATGTTTGTGTGTGTGAGAGAGAGACAGAGACTGCTGCCCTCTGCTGGAAGCTCAGCTGTGTGTCATAGCCCCTACACTGCTTCTATTTGAGGGAGGTTCTCCACAGAGAGAGACCTCACTGCTATGGCATGGAGAAGCGTGATGAGCCCCAGGTGCAGCATGTGCCCCTTCCCCTCAGCCCCCCCAGGGCTTGGGGGCAACTCGCGCAGGCTAACTCCCAGGGGTCAGCGAGACAGGCGGCTCCTGTGGCCAGAACTAACCTGCCACAGAGAGTGGCTGGGGCTGGGGCTGAGATGGGCAGCATGGTCTGTCATGTCCCCTGGGCTGGGAGCCAGACAGATACCGACTAGCCAGGGGGCATAACCTGGTAGCCACAGGCTGATGTGGGCTAGGAGTTGGGGGAGCCCCCAGTGAGGTCCAGCATGTGAGAACGGCCCCCCAGCTGCTGGGAAAAGGGTTCCTATTGGGTGTTGGCTGCCAGCTGTCTGCTTTGGCACCTGCTGGCGCACAGCTGCTGGCCTCATGTGCAGGAGGGTGCCTGCTGAAATGCCCCTTCTGAGCCCTGGGCCTTGCAGGGGCTGCACGGGGTGTGAGGGGAGACGGCCAGAGACCAGCGGGCTGGAGGTCGCAGAGGGCAGCCTGGTGTCCTGGCACCGCTGCCTGGGGGGCCTGTTTGAAGACACCACCCATGTGCCCTGTACGCCGACAGCCACCCCGGCTGCAGGACGTGGGGAGGGGCGGCTGTGCCATGGGGCTCACCTGGCAGGGAACTGGCTGGCAGCTCCCCAGCTCTGGCAGCCGGCCCCAGGCACCCAGCCGGGCAGTGAGGGGCACCAGGCCGGGCATGCTGGGAGTGTTTCCGTGGTGCCTGTGGCTGGCGTGGCTGGACATCGCTCAGTAACTCAGGGCCAGGCAACACCCCTGCAGCCTGGCAGCTTGGGGCTGCGGGGCTTGGCTTGGCCTGCTGAGGGGGGATGAGCCAGGTTCCCTTTCCCCACGACCTGGGCCAAGGCTGCGGGCTGGGGGCAGCACCCGTCCTCGTTCTTCTCCATAGCCACCTGCCCTGCCGCCCGGGCACCCCTGGGGCAGGCATCTCAGTGACCTCACTTCCGTCTCCTCCCGGCCAGGTTCCAGCCCCGGCCCTTGTGCCAGCATGGCCAGTGGGGGTGCCTAGATCTCCCCGTTGTCCTCCAAGATGACATCTACCCACAGTGTCTGCTGTCCCTCGCCCCACTGCCAGGCTGGGCTCCTGGGTTCTGTCCCCAGGTCTGTCCCAACTCTGAGGCTGGTCCCTGTCCCCCATGCCTCGGTTTCCCCATCTGTGCCCATGGGGTAGGGGGAGCTGCGTTTCTTCTCCCCAAGGGCTTGGTGGGGCTTATGCGCGCATGTGCGGGCACCCAGATGAGGGTACAGGCTTGACATAGTAATGCGGGGGAGGGGAGGTGGCCTGGAATGGGGCGTGGCCAGGAAGTGAAGGGGGGGAGCTTGGAACAAGGTGGGTTTGAACTGGTGGTTCTGTGTCCCACTTCCTAGGGTCTCCCATGGGGCAGGTCTGGGTGGGGACCGGCAAAGTCGGGGCCCCACGGGTCTGGGCTGCCCTCAGTTTGCACTAAGTGTGTGTCCACCCACGGAGTGTAGACGAGCCCCGAGGGATCTGGGGTCACTCCGGAGTCACTCTGGTATTGCTCAGAGCAGTGTGTCAGGCTGGCCCAGGCCTGGCTTTCTCTGGGGTGCAGCCTGGGATTGGGCAGGGGCAGCAGCAGCTTGATTCTCTTGAGAGCTCCTGGGAGCTGCTCCTGCCCCCTGCGGTACCCGCAGAGCTGGTCCCACTGGCGGGGGGCGTGAACCCTGTCAGGCTGGCCACGGGGGCCTGGCAGCAGGACCCGCTCTCCATATCCTCAGAGTTCAAGGGTCAATTCCCAGGGTAGAAGGCACCAGGGAGGAGCTGGTCAAAGGGACGGCGCCCCATGGCCCAGGGCAGACGGGGTTGGGGGGGACATGACACCTAGCAGGGTCCCTCTGCTTGCCCCTCGGAGCAGGGGCCACACAAACAGCAGTGGGGCAGCAACCCCCCCTTCCCCCGCTGCTGAACCTCAGGGCCCCAGCGGGGTCTGGGGTGAAGCTCCAGAGAGACGGGTCCCGGGGCCAGCAGCTCCAGTGCTGTGGGGACCTGAGCTGAGAGCCAGCAACCTCGTGTCACACAGGGACCCCAACAAGCCCGGCACGGGGAACAAGTCAGGGGAGTGATGGGGCTGAGGGCAGGCTGCACAACCCCCTCCCTCTCCCGTCACACTGCACAACCCCTCCCCTCCCCTCCCTGTCACACTGCACAGCCCCTCCCCATCACACTGCACAGCCCTCCGTCACACTGCACAGCCCCTCCCCTCCCCTCCCTGTGACACTGCACAGCCCCTCCCCATCACACTGCACAGCCCCCTCCCCTCCCCATCACACTGCACAACTCCCCGTCACACTGCACAGCCCCTCCCCTCCCCTCCCTGTGACACTGCACAGCCCCTCCCCATCACACTGCACAGCCCCCGTCACACTGCACAACCCCTCCCTTCCCCTCCCTGTGACACTGCACTGCCCCTCCCCTCCCCATCACACTGCACTGCCCCTCCCCTCCCCTCTCTATGACACTGCACAGCCCCTCCCCATCACACTGCACAACCCCTCCCCTCCCCATCACACTGCACAACTCCCCGTCACACTGCACAGCCCCTCCCCTCCCCTCTCTATGACACTGCACAGCCCCTCCCCATCACACTGCACAGCCGCCCCCCCACTGCACAGCCGCCCCCCCCCACTGGGACCCTCCAGGGAGGGGCTGTGACAAGTTAATCTCCAGCGTGGTGCTGAGCCACCAGGGAAGCCAGTGGCAGGCGACAGCCGGGGGCTCCGGGACATGCGGGGGAGGGGGGCTCATGCGGGGGTGTCAGGAGCAGCTCCCAGAAGAACGAGGCTTTGGGCTCCCTCCCCGGCTCTGCCGGTGCCCCTCACTCCCGCCCCGCAGCCTGGCCCTGGGGCCTTCCTGGGAGACTCAGGAGCTGTGGAAGCCTGTCCCCGAGGCCGGGGGAGCCCAGCCCCGCGGGCGCCATTCACGCCGTGCCCTCCTCTCTCGCAGACGGCGTGCACAGCGTGGCGGCCCAGTGCTCCCTGCGGGTGACCGTCATCACGGACGAGACGCTGACCAACAGCATCACGCTGCGCCTGGAGAACATGTCCCAGGAGCGGTTCCTCTCCCCGCTGCTGCCGCTCTTCCTGCAGGGGGTGGCGGCCGTGCTCGCGGCCCCCCGCCGCCACGTGGTGCTCTTCAACATCCAGAACGACACGGACGTGCCGGCCGCCCACATCCTCAACGTCAGCCTGTCGGTGCTGCTGCCGGGCGGGGCCCGTGGGGGGCGCTACGTCCCCTCCCAGGACCTGCAGGAGCGGCTCTACCTCAACCGCACGCTGCTGGCCGCCGTCTCCGAGCAGCGGGTGCTGCCCTTCGACGACAACGTCTGCCTGCGGGAGCCCTGCGAGAACTACATGCGCTGCGTGTCCGTCCTGCGCTTCGACAGCTCCGCGCCCTTCCTGGCCTCCGCCACCGTCCTCTTCCGGCCCATCCGCCCCGTCGGCGGCCTGCGGTGCCGCTGCCCCGCCGGCTTCACCGGCCACTACTGCGAGAGCGAGATCGACCTGTGCCCCTCCGGCCCCTGCGGCCGCAACGGCCGCTGCCACAGCCGGGAGGGCGGCTACACCTGCCGCTGCCACGCCGGCTTCACCGGTGAGCGGGGGAGGGCTCCTCTGTCTGTCCCCACACGCGCCTCTGTCCGTCTCTCCGGCCCCGGCCGTGCCCCGGCCGGCCAGCCGCATCCGTACCCCCCTCCGGGCAGCCGCATCTGTATCCCCCTCCATACCCCCGTCCGGGCAGCCGCATCCGTACCCCCCTCCGGGCAGCCGCATCCGTACCCCCCTCCTTACCCCCGTCCGGCCAGCCGCATCCGTACCCCCCTCCTTACCCCCGTCCGGCCAGCCGCATCTGTACCCCCCTCCTTACCCCCGTCCGGGAAGCCCATCCGTACCCCCCTCTGGGCAGCCACATCTGTACCCCCCTCCATAACCCCTTCCAGTCAGCCGCATCCGTACCCCCCTCCGTACCCCTGTCCGGCCAGCCCATCCATACCCCTGTCCGGCCAGCCGCATCTGTACCCCTGTCTGGCCAGCCCATCCGCACCCCCGTCCGGCCAGCCACATCCGTACCCCCCTCCGTACCCCCGTCCGGCCAGCCGCATCCGTACCCACGTCTGGCCAGCCCATCTGTACCCCCCTCCGTACCCCCGTCTGGCCAGCCCATCCGTACCCCCGTCCAGCCAGCCACATCTGTACCCCCCTCCGTAACCCCTTCCGGTCAGCCACATCCGTACCCCCCTCCGTACCCCTGTCCAGCCAGCCCATCTGTACCCCTGTCCTGCCAGCCGCATCCGTACCCCCCTCCGTACTCTCGTCCGGCCATCCCATCCGTACCCCCCTCCGGCCAGCCGCATCTGTACCCCCCTCCGTACCGCCCTCTCCAGCCGTCCCATCCGTACCCCCGTCCGGCCAGCCGCATCTGTACCCCCCTCTCCAGCCATCCCTCTCCACCTCCCGGGGCCTGGGCTGGCTGGCTTGGAGGGCTGGGGCATAGTGGGGGCCTTCCACCCAGCCCCCTTCACACACCCAAGGCACTAATTCAAGTCCAGCCCAGGGCAGTGGCCATGTCTCATGTCTGTTGGGCATGTCTCTGTGGGGCGGGGGGGTGTCCCTGAGGCCCATGGCCCGGGTGGGGTCTCTGCCCCAGCCCCAGCCCTGGAGTGGAGCGTCCCCACCGCAAGGGGCTGGAGCCGGGGCCGGAGCACTGAGGCCTGCTGGAGGCTGTGCCGTGAGCCGTGGGGCAGGCCATGGAGTGGGGCAGCCTCCTGCACTGGCCAGGCTGCCCCCACCTGTGGGATTGTCCAGCCCTAGCGTGAGGACGCAGCAGCCACTTGTTCTGAGCCCGAGCCCCTGGCCTGCCCCCTCTTAGCGCCTGCGAAGAGCCTGGCCCCAGTGTCTGGCCTGCTCCCACACAGGGACACCACCCACCCTGTGTCCTCCCAGAGACCCTCCCTCCCCTCAGACGTGCTCCACAGCTGCCAGCCCCCATCCCTGTTCACCCTGGCAGCTAGTGACCTCCAAACCCAGCAGTGGCATAACAGCTTGGCGTGCCCCTGTGATACCCACTGCAGACCCAGGACCCCGGTAAACCAGGCCTGGTGCCCCCCAGTGTCCCTGCACTGCCTGCCCCCAAGCCCTGCCCCAGGAGGCTGCCAGCACCGCAGGTCGGGTGTCAGTAAATGCTCCCCCACATAACCTGGGATGGACACGGGGATGCGGGGACTAGTGGTTAGAACACATGACTGCAGGCAGGACTCCTGGGTTCTGGCCCAAGTTCTGGGAGAGACATGGGGGTTCGGGGTTTCAGCAGTGCGTGCTGGGAGCTAGACTCCTGGGTTCTATTCCCAGCTGTGGGAGGGGAGTGGTGTCGGATTGGGATTCCTCAGCTCTCTCCCTGGCTGTGTCACAAATTCTCTTTTTAACTCTTAGCCCCGCTCTGTGCCTCAGTTTCCCCAAGTGTAGCCGGGGTGATGGCGCTGAAGGGAGTGTGACCCGGGACTGTAGAAAGCTGTGAGCTCCCTGGCAATGGAGAATTCCCCTCCCACACTGGGGCAATGAAGAATCCCCACTGGGCCCCCAGTGAGAAGGATCCCAATGGGAGCTGCTAGGTGCTAAGCACTTCTGAACGCCTGCCCCAGTGTTTGCGGAGACCTGGGCGCAGGCTGGGGGGGCTCATTCTGAAGGGCTCCCTGTGCCCCCTGCGATCCACGCCAGCCGGGCTGGTCTGTGCTGCGGCCAGTGTTCCTGGTGCGCCGCACGCAGGGGACCCTGCTGTGAAACCTTTTACTGCCAGTGGGGAAGAAACCTCAGAGCCACACGGCAGGTTCCCCCTCCCGCTGCCCGGCTGGGAAACCCCGAAGACAGCAAGCCAGGGGGGGACCCTGGCCAAGCCGAGGGGCCCTCTGGGAGGTGCCGGCCTGTGCAGGAAGTTAGAAGGCAGGAGCTGGGGTGGTGGTGGTGGGGGGGTGCGTGTTGGAAGAATGCAGCAGGGCGAAGTGCCTCTCAGTGGCGGTGATAAAAGGCCAGGGGTCACTTCCCAGCATGCCAGTTCCTTGCCCGCCCCGGACACAGGGACGGTCTCTGTGTGGCACAGGCCTGGCCGTGGCCCCAGCTGCAGCCCTGGCTCTGTGAGGGGAGTCTGCCCTGGGGCGCGTCTCGCAATTGCTTGTTCAAAATCTCTGTCTTCGACAGCCAGAGTCATAGCAAAGAAACCAATCCCACCCCCCGGCCCCGGCCCGGCCCCGGCCCCAGCCCCGGCTCCACCCGGCGTGCGGCCTGCCTGTCCTGCGCATCGCCACCCAGGCACTGGTGCCGTGCCGAAGCCGTCGCCTTGCACGTTAGTTTGTATTAGCGGCAGCTGAAAGGTTGAATCTGTTTCTTGGTGATTCCTGGCGCCTCTTCCCCTAGAAACAGCCATAAATCTAGAACTTCCCAAGGCACCGGCTCCCGGGTCCCTGGCCATTCGTGCTATTGATCCTGGGTGTCGAGCAGCACGTTGGGGCCCCATCGGGTGGGCACAGCACAGACGGCGTGACAGCCCCTGCCCCACACAGTTCCCAGGCTAAGGCCCTGAGCCAGCAAACAAGGGCAGCACCCGCTGGCCTGTGATCACAGGAGTGCCCTGCTCCCCCAGCTCTCGGCAGATTTCACCCGGGCCCCTTCAGTGCTTCGTCCCCTTGCTCTGGCGAATAAAAGGGTCACCACAGCGGTTATTCCTCCTTCGGGCATGTGCATGGGCTTGTTGTGGGGTCTGTTGTGTGATCTGGACTGTGTACACGTGGGCTTGTTGTTGCGGGGTGTGTTGTGGGAGCCGGCCTGTGAGCACGCGGGCTTGTTGTTGCGGGGTGTGTTGTGGGAGCCGGCCTGTGTACACGCATTGGTGTTGTGGTGGGGTGTGTTGTGGGAGCCGGCCTGTGTACACGCATTGGTGTTGTGGTGGGGTGTGTTGTGGGAGCCGGCCTGTGAGCACGCGGGCTTGTTGTTGCGGGGTGTGTTGTGGGAGCCGGCCTGTGTACACGCATTGGTGTTGTGGTGGGGTGTGTTGTGGGAGCCGGCCTGTGAGCACGCGGGCTTGTTGTTGCGGGGTGTGTTGTGGGAGCGGCCTGTGAGCACGCGGTTGTTGTTGCGGGGTGTGTTGTGGGAGCGGCCTGTGAGCACGCGGGGTTGTTGTTGGGGTGTGTTGTGGGAGCCGCCTGTGAGCACGCGGGGTTGTTGTTGCGGGTGTGTTGGGGACCCTGTGAGCATGGGTTGTTGTTGGGGTGTGTTGTGGAGCTGTGAGACGGTTGTTGTTGGTGTGTTGTGGGATGTGAGATGGGGTTGTTGTTGGGTGTGTTGTGGGACCCTGTGTACACGTGGGCTTGTTGTTGCGGGGTGTGTTGTGGGAGCCGGCCTGTGAGCACGCGGGCTTGTTGTTGCGGGGTGTGTTGTGGGAGCCGGCCTGTGTACACGCATTGGTGTTGTGGTGGGGTGTGTTGTGGGAGCCGGCCTGTGTACACGCATTGGTGTTGTGGTGGGGTGTGTTGTGGGAGCCGGCCTGTGAGCACGCGGGCTTGTTGTTGCGGGGTGTGTTGTGGGAGCCGGCCTGTGTACATGCATTGGTGTTGTGGTGGGGTGTGTTGTGGGAGCCGGCCTGTGAGCACGCGGGGTTGTTGTTGCGGGGTGTGTTGTGGGAGCCGGCCTGTGAGCACGCGGGGTTGTTGTTGCGGGGTGTGTTGTGGGAGCCGGCCTGTGAGCACGCGGGGTTGTTGTTGCGGGGTGTGTTGTGGGAGCCGGCCTGTGAGCACGCGGGGTTGTTGTTGCGGGGTGTGTTGTGGGAGCCGGTCGGGTTGTTGTTGCGGGGTGTGTTGTGGGAGCCCCTGTGAGCACGCGGGGTTGTTGTTGCGGGGTGTGTTGTGGGAGCCGGCCTGTGAGCATGCGGGGTTGTTGTTGCGGGGTGTGTTGTGGGAGCTGGCCTGTGAGCACGCGGGGTTGTTGTTGTGGGTCTCTTGGCTGCGGGACTGCAGGACACACACTTAGCGCAGGGCTGGCGTGGGCAGGGTGTCACAGTGTCCCTGGGTGATGCTCTGGAACTGCTCCCCATGAAGCAGGGTCCTGCACTTAGGACGGAAGAACCCAATGCACAGCTACAGACTAGGGACCGAATGGCTAGGCAGCAGTTCTGCGGAAAAGGACCTAGGGGTGACAGTGGACGAGAAGCTGGATATGAGTCAGCAGTGTGCCCTTGTTGCCAAGAAGGCCAATGGCATTTTGGGATGTATAAGTAGGGGCATAGCGAGCAGATCGAGGGACGTGATTGTCCCCCTCTATTCAACATTGGTGAGGCCTCATCTGGAGTACTGTGTCCAGTTTTGGGCCCCACACTACAAGAAGGATGTGGATAAATTGGAGAGAGTCCAGCGAAGGGCAACAAAAATGATTAGGGGTCTGGAACACATGACTTATGAGGAGAGGCTGAGGGAGCTGGGATTGTTTAGCCTGCGAAAGAGAAGAATGAGGGGGGATTTGATAGCTGCTTTCAACTACCTGAAAAGGGGGTTCCAAAGAGGATGGCTCTAGACTGTTCTCAATGGTAGCTGATGACAGAACGAGGAGTAA